TCTGTCACCCAGGCTGGGGTGAAGTGGCGCAATCTTGGCTCACTGAAACTTCCATCTCCCAGGTTCAAGCGATTCTCATGCCTCAGATTCCTGAGTAGCTGGGGCTGCAGGTGCGCACCACCATGCCCGGCTAGGCTAACTTTTTGTTTTTATTTTTGGTAGTGACGGGATTTGGCCATATTGCCCAGACTGGCCTCAAACTCCTGAGCTCAGGCAATCCGCCTGCCTCAGCTTCCCAAAGTGCTAGGATTGCAGGCATGAACCACTGCGCCCAGCCAATTTCTTCATTCTTAGGCTAAATCTGTGAGGGACACACTTTTTCCAACATTAGCTGCAAAGGGTTTTTCCTCTGAACTTAAGTCACCGTCAGTAAGTAGGTTTTTTTTCTCTTTCTTGCGCTTTTGTTTGCTTGTTTGTTGTTTTGTTTTTATTTGGGAAAACCCATTTCTTGATAGTAAGAAATTACTTTTTACATGCAAGGTCAAACCATGGGATGAATTTTCTTCCACACTTATATAAACTTTTTTATTCCTGCCTCTGACTGTAAATAGTCGCACAGTTAAAAGCAGAATGGACTTAATGGAGTATCATTTGTATTTATAATTCCTGTATTTGTAATTCTGCTACAGAAATGAATTGTTATACTCAAAATTTACACTGTTATTTCACTTCTTGAAAACCATGTAAAAATAATGCTCTTGTGGCTTTTCATAGGTTTATAGTCTGTAAACATTAATTTTAATCAATAATTCATATCATTTATGATTTTTATTATGGGAAACAGATAACCATAAAACACATAAACATAATTATTTTGTGACAGATGGTGTGTTTGGAGTGTTTACTATCACCCTTGAATATGATACCCTGGCTGGAAAATATTGGTTTGATAATGCACCTTTAAGAAATTATATAAAATACGTAAAAGTATATAACCTTATACACATTTTTTAAAACAAGGCCTTGTTGTAGAAAAAAGATTATACTATGCATGAAGATGTTTTGCATTCTATTATTATTTGAATTTATTTTAAAAGCCATTGCTGCTCTGTTTATATATATAAGTAAAGCGAGCCCTTCTAGTCTCCAATTCTGAAAGCCCTGCTTTCAGAATATCGCTGCTTGAGCTTTACTATGACCTGTGCCTCCATCCCTCTGAACCAAAGATGGGTGCCACAAGAGGTACCAGACACACAGTGGTTCCGAGTGGTTATAGTAAGATTCATTTGCCATCTAAATGTTAGGTAAAATTCATTGGTGCAATGTTCAGGAACTGGACACATAGACCCTGGTGGTTTACATATTTATATATATAAACATATATTTATATATATAAACATATATATATATATATATATATATATATATACACACACATAAACAGAGCAGCAGAATAATGGACTCTAGCTCCATCCATGTCCCTGCATAGGACATGATCTCATTATTTTTTATGGCTGTATAGTATTCAATGGTATAATCAGTTTTCTTTATCCAGTTTACTATTAACAGGCATTTAGGTTGTTTCTTTGCTGTTGTGAATGTCAGGTCTCCATATGCAGTCTGGAGCCTGAAAGTCTGCAGTCCTGCTTGCTTTGGCTGATGATCTCCCACCCGCCCACCTGCATTCACCATTGTCCCTGATTGCCCAGCAGAGCTTCCCCAGACAAGCCCCCCCTCACCCAACCCGGACATCTTAACTGTTCTTATGATCATGTGAATACCTCTCACCCATCCTGCCATCTTAACTGCTCTTCTGCCTCACCCCACCCACAGTTGTAACTTAACTTGTGGTCATGTACACTCCTTGCCCCTACCCCCACCACTGTAACTGATCTTAC